ATAATAATAAACATTAATAATAATAATAATAATAATTATTATTATTATTAAAAATATAATTTAAAAAAAGGGAAAAAATAATATTAAGAGCATAATGACTATTACATTATAATATTATTACTAAATCCAGGGGTCCCATTCTATGGGTCGTGAACCAATAAGCCAAATGTCTGTGTTGGGCCACCAGCAGTTTCGAAAAAAAAAAGAGAAAAAACAAATGATCGCCAAGTGTTTATTTACAGTTGATGTAAAGTGTAAACAGTTAAAACCAATGTCTGACGTTGATGTATGGTAATGATGATGATGTTGTCTGGTGGTGATGACAGTGCCTTGCAATGATGATGATAATGTCTGTTGGTAGTTAGTGATTAGTGATGACAGTGTCTGGTAACAATAATGATATCTGGTGTCATGATGATGTGGTAATGTTGATGACATAAGATGGGGGTGGTGATGTCTAGTAATGATGATATCTATTATGATAATGTCTGGTGGTGTTGGCAGTGTCTGGTAATGATGATGATGGTGTTTGGTAGCGATGACAGTGTCTGGTAATAAAGATGATATCTGGTGGTGTTTATGATGTGGTAGTGACAATGATATCTGGTGCTGATGGTGATGAAGTCTGGTAATGATGATATATGATGGTGACACCATGTATGGTAATGATGATGATAATGTATGGTAGTCATAATAGTGTCTGTTATAGCTGGTGTGATAATGTAGTGATGATGTTTAGTATGATGATGATTAAAATGCTTGGCAATGCTGATAACATGAAGATATCTGGTGGTGGTGATGATGAAGATAATGATGATGCCTGGTAATATTTATTATTATAATGACTGATAATAACAATTTTTGGTGATGATAATCATTTATTTATATTATATTAAGGTGATGATGGTGGTAATGATGATGGTGATAATATAGTTTATTGGAGCCAAATAAAATTGTTTACGATTAATGAATAATGATGATTTATAAAAAAAAAAAAGGTCATGGATATAAAAATGATCAAAATTCTAGATGATGAAGACAATAATGGTGACAAATATATGTTGGTGATAATTCTAAAATTTCCCTAATAAAATGGATAATGAATCTCCAAACATTTTAACTTGTTAATTTTTTTTCTTTCTTTCTTTCATTCTTTCTTTTATTTGGCATCATCATAAAAATGCATACAAGATAAAATACATTAAAAATGTTAGGATCAAGAAAACATGAAAGAGACGTGAACTAAGAAATGTATAATAAATTAAAATAAAAATAAAGGTCAGATAAAGATGCCATGGATAACACATAAAAGTCATTTAAAATTAAACAACTTATTCCCAATGTGGTCCCTTGTAAATTAAAAAGGACAAAGGAAAAAAAAAGCAAAATAAAAAGGAATCAAATAGAAATGGAAATTTATTTAATCACAAAATACGTAATACATAAATTGCAATTTCATTGATAATAATAATTCTTTAAAAAGATTACACTATTAATTTTCATCTTCTTTATATTTATATTTAAGGTATTTCCTCAGTTCAATGTTAAATCGAAATGAATTAGATACTTGCTTCATATAGTCAGAAAGTTTATTCCATTTTTTAATAGCATTACAATAAAATGTATGTATACCTGATTCAAAAGTTGTTCGTTTTATGGCCTCAGAATATTGGCCATTACCATCACCATTTTGGGCTCTTACTTGGAACGTATACTCTGTGTAAGCTTCAAGATCCGTAACAAGATATGACACCATTGGCTCTTCTTGGGCATTTGAAAAAACTGTACCACTTTTACTGTAAAGTCAACAAAAACCATAGTTTGACATATATAAGATACGAAAGAATATATTAAATATGTGAATATATATTTCTGCTAATGAACAGCATAAAATTTTAAGAGTTTATTTCAGACTGCTACTGACAATCAGCAGATGGCGTCACAGTGCGCCATCTAGCAATCACATGAAGTAGAGTTGAATTTGTTACGCGGCGGTCGTTAGACCATTGTACAACAGTGTTGTCTTCTGTCGATCTTGCGGACAGTCAAAGTGCGTGGAAGTCTCAGTTTCTGACTTGAGTATTGAACTTTTCTTTTATTTATACATTACTGTCCTGTGCAGAACTGAGAAATTGTCTTCTGTTGATTCCTGTGTTGACAAGTAGAATATGTGAAGGAAGACTCAGTATGGCTACATGTACACTCGGCAGGTGGAAAACGGTGCCACGAGCACCCCTACTAGGGATGGATACGTGCGCCTAACAAAATTAAATCATTATTATTATTTATTATTACTCACGTCTGACTGTTGTCACGCCACTCAATATAATACAAAAGAGTGAGGCTTCCAGGCTCATCAGGTATCCCCCAACTTATATTGACTGAGTTCCATGACAACACCTCTCCATCAAGACCTGTTGGCTTCCCTGGCTCTAAAGACAAATTGGTTGAAAGTTGTACAAACTTTTATATTCTCTACGTCTGTCGATTTTTGTTAGATCTACCAAACCAGATGGATTAAAGGGAATATTTAAAAAAAGTAAAAGACCTTAAGAAGAGCTACTATAGTTTTCAAGGCAATACTTGTATAAATTAATTTTAACATGAAGTCCAAGCAGACCTACGTGCTGGCATAACTAGCTGTAAGTAGTAATACATTTTCAATACAGTAATATATTCATATTAATGAAATCTTGGCATACAATAGTACTTTTGTACAATATTTTTGTGGTGGAGTCGCAAGTTGAAAGACACTTCAAGATTGAGCTTATAAATACTGATTAGTTAAATGTAGTGATACCCATGTACAGTTTGTATTAAGGAAAAATCTCTCTTACTCTTCCTTCCTCCTTAAGTTATACGGCTAACTTCAACAAAATGAAGATTTTTGCCCTATTGCCCATTTTTTAACTGCGCTAATAAAACCTAGTGGGCATAATTTTTGTTTATTCTTATTTTAATTTTCTTGTTATAAATATTTTTTAAACTACGTTTCTTAATTTCTTTGAACCCTGACCCTAACTAATCCTGACTGCTTTGGAAATTATCCAGAAGCTGATAAACTCGTGTGAGAGGCTTGTGGGAGTTCATGCGAGAGCCTGTCTGAAAATTTCCAGAGTTATGGACATGGGAACCCATGTATATGCAACATAAGTGACAGCACAATCTATTCATGCGCAGAATGAGACTGCATTATTGTGTTTCGAGTTCTGTTGAAATTGGATAAATAAACATTGCAAATAGATATGTAAATGTTTGAATAACAGCCTGTAGTAAATGAGAGGCTTTTTTAGATTAATCTTTTGCTGGTTGAATCCAGTTCCTGGGACACTAAAATACAAAAAAATTACACCCACCAAGTAAAAACTACACTTTACTCTATTTGTTGAAACTTACTTTTGGAATTATCCAGTATTTGTACCTTATCATGCCGAGTCTCTCCAAAAGAACTATATGCAACAACACTCACATAGAACTGTTCATACTGTGTTTGGTCTGTTTAAAAAAAATGTATTTAAATTAATTTCAAATAATTTTATATAAAATTTCACTTATAGAATGTAGCTTTCAGGGGTGGATTCAGAATTTTCCAAATAGGGAGAGGGGAGGGGGAACAACAGTTTCAGAATAGATAAGTGAGTAGCACATAACAC